AAGTGCTGAGCACAGGCCCAGAAACATCATAGGTGCTCAAGAAACGCAAACAGCCACGCTCATCACGAGCCCCATCGTTACTTCTACCAGAATACACTGCACACACTGAGGAGTCGTGGACGGAAATGCGTTGTGTTGGATGAGGGCCAGAGCTTCTGAAGGCGGGCAGAAGGTCAAGAAAGGACATCAAGTACGGCTTTGAGACAGGATTTGACAAATGAATGCGGTTTATTTAGGATGTGGGGCTTCCAGATCCTGGTCCAAAATCAGTGCTGTGGTTCACCCCACTTTTCCGCCCTCCCTCCGTTCAACCAACCCATCAACTGAGCTGGCAGTTGTTCCTCACTCCGGCTTTTCCCTGACTGAGGCCCCGACTGAGGACACACACGCACGCGCGCACACACACACACACACACACACACACACACACACACAGGTCCTGCTTTCTTGAGCCATTTTGCACGTCTGTTCTCCCCAAGCCTTCGACACCTCTCACCTCACTGGATCACAAAGCCTCCGCATGGCCCCACGGCCTCCAACCACTCCCTCCCCGCACCCATCCATATGCCACAGCTCGAGGCTCCCAGGCCTTAGGAACATCCAAGGGAGCAACACTGCTGGCCCCTGGTCCCTGAGCTGCAGGCCACGCCCACTCCTGACTGCTAGAGCTGGTCTAAGACAAGGCTGCAAACTCCAGGGCTGCCTCTTCTTCCCCCTTTTCTCCACACCCTAGACCCAGGCCAGGCCACAAACCTGGGGAAGCTGCCTCCTTTAGAGACTCTAAGCACCATCGTTGCTCACAGGCGGCCAGACTTCTGAAAACAAGCCAGCCCCCCTTGCTGGCTCCGTCTCCTCACTTCCCACTCACGCCTCGGGCCCCAGCAGCGTGGCTTCTGCCGTCAAACTGCCTGTGCCCAGGACACGAAGACCCCCGTGCTGCCCGAACACAGCGGCTCTCAGGCCTCACGCTTCCCTGCAGCCCTGTCCCCCGCCGCCTGTCCCTTCCCGGGGCCTCAGCTGCGTCCGTTTACACGCTTGGTGTCCCCTACACCCAGGCCTCTGTCCTCGGCTGACCCATGTGCGTCGGTGCGCCCCAGGATGGCTCACCTGAGCACCTCACGGGCATCTCCGGCTCGACTCACCCCCCCCCCCCCCCCCCACCCCGAACTCACCTTCGCCGCTCTCCCGTCTCAGGCCAGCTCTCTCCACAGCTCCGCACGTGTTAGCAGACGTCCCCCAGACACTGCACTCAGTTCCTAGCGCTGCTTAATAAACTGCCACGACACGGTGGTTCTCGAACACCACACGTTTATTATCTCACGGTTCCAGAGGTCACAAGTCCTAAGATCGAGGCGTCGGCAGCGGGCTGAGTTCCTTCTGGAGGCTTGAGGGAAGAATCTACTTCCTTGCCTTTTGTAGCTTCTAGAAGCTGTCTGCAGTCCCTTGGCTCCTGGCTCCTTCTTCTATCTTCAAGGCCAGCAGGATAACATCTTCCAATCTTGTCTTTCTGACTCTGACTCTCCTGCCTCCCTCCCATAAAAATGCTTGTAATTCCACGAGGCCCACCCCGATAAACCAAGATAATCTCCCCACCTCAAGCGCCTTAATTGAATTACGCCTGGAAAGTCCCTTTTGGCCTCTAAAATGACATCCGTACAGGATCCGGGGATGAGGATGCGGCCATCTTGAGGGGGCCGTTATTTGGCCTACTATACTCACTTCCCTCCGTCTGCTCCGAGCCTCTAGGGTACCCCTCCAGTGACAGAAGACATGTTGACCCATCGCCCCTCCATATGCAACGTCTCCATCTGAACGTTCTCGGGCGATAGGAGAGCTTGTCCATCACGCCTCACCTCTGCTCGATATTCAACCGTCTCTTCAGGGGGACCCTCCCACCAGGATTTTCAAAGACGTTCACGTCTCTCTCTTAACAAAGTCCCCCGCCCCCCGTGCCTGCCGGCAGCCAACCCTCGTATCTCCTGTCTCTCTTCCACTTGTCTTATCTCTAATCAAGCTTCTAAGAAGTGCCTATGCTGGTCACCCGGCTTCTCACAAGGTTCCCTTCAGGTGGTGCTCTGACGGGGCTTCTCCACCACAGCACTCTGGACCCCCGAGACCAGATCGCTCTTTGTTGTAGGAGGCTGTCTTCTGCATTACGAAAGGTTTAGCAGCACCCTTGACCCCTACCTTCTAGATGCCAGGAGCATAGCCCCCATCCCAAGCTGTGACGGCCCAAAATGTGTCCAGACGTTACCAAATGCCCTCCGGGTGGGGGGCGGGGGGAGGGCAGGGAGGAAGGGAGCAAACCGCCCCAGGTCGGGAACCTCGGTCTTGGAGTACCAGGTCTTGCTAAAGTGGCCGGTGACTTCCCTGGCACTAAGCCCAGTGGACCATTTCAAGTCCTTCTCTTGCCTGGCTTCTCAGAAACACTTGACCGCGTTGACCGTTCTGGCCTTCCCGCCTCTCAGGGTGCACTTCCTCAGTCTCCCTTGCAAGGATCGTGCTCCCCTTCTGGACGGCTGAACCACCGAAGTTCCTCAAAGCTCATTCTAGGCCCTCTCCGCCTCTCGTCCATCGGTTCTCCTTGGGGGCGGCCCTCCGCACTCCCAGCCCCGCTGATACCTGTGTGCAGGTGGTGCGGGAAGTGACATCTCCGAATCTCCTTTCCAAGCTCCGAACCCGTATCGCTAACTGCCTAGTCGCCATGGCCACTGGGTGCCTTGATGTCACTCCAAAGTCATCGAGTCTAAAACTGCCTCTTGCCCTCCACCCGGGCCCCGCCTATATTCCATTTCTCAGAGACGGACACCTTCCCAACCTGCTGAGAGCAGGACACTGAAGGGCTCGTTTTCGCCAATTCCCTCTCCCTTACTTAGGCCAATCAATCAATTTCCAAGTCAACCCTGCTCATCTCCGAAATAAATAGTTCACAAACGAGTTCACCCTTTCTTCATGTTGCTGCCCCACCCTAACCCAAGCCTCCACCATCCCCGACTCAGACAATGATCCATTCTTGACCCATGCCCCCTGCTCCCAATCTGTTCTCCAGCCTGCAGCCAAAGTCACCCTTTCAAAACATAAATAAACTTCTCATTGTTCTTAAAATAAAGAACAAAAGTCCCAATTTGGCTCAGCGGGCCCTATACATCCAAGACCGTCTCCCCCTCCAGGCCCCTGTGTTCGCTCCACTCCGGGCACAATGACCTAGTTGCGCAAACATGCCATACTCTCGCCCGCCACAGGGCCTTTACACATGCTGTCCTGTTCATCTGGTGGGCATTCTCTTTCTTCAATCACACCTCAACTATCAGGAAGCCTTCCTTGACCTCTGGCCACATCACTTCCTCTGGTTGTTCCCTTCTCTCCTAGCCTCACTGCCTCTTCATCACCTGAGCCATAACTTTACATTTATTTACCTTATTATCTGATTCATTCCGGCTTCCCCACAATAAGCTCTATGAGGGCAGAACTGATGTCTGATCTGGCCCATCACTGGATCCCTGAGGCCAGTTCAGGGCTTAGCACAAACGAGACCCATGAGAAAGGTTTATTTCATGACTGATAAACGATCTTCCTACTCCGTAGCCTGCTCTTCTCTACCGGTCCCACCTTCCTCCAACTCTGCTCAAGCTGGACGCTCGAGAGGCGTCCCTAATAATCCCTTCCACTTCAGATCTTTACATACCCTCCTCCTTACCTCCACATCCCATCCATCAATAAATCCTGGAGATTCTCCCTCCTAAGTCTCTCTCAAATGTGCCTGGTGTAGCACCTAAGTTGAAACCAGCATCTTTTCTGACCTGAAACCCCCCCCCCCCCCAGCAAGGCCCCTACCCATCCGGATTCTGTGTTCTGCAACCTGACCTAACCATCCTGTAACGCCTCTGCCCGACAATCTTCAGAGGTTCCCATGGCCCGCAGAAGGAGCATGCGCTTACCCTGGCTTATGAAATGTAGGGTGATCTGGCCCCTGACTCCCTCTCCTGCTGATTTCCTGCCACTCTGCCTGTCAGGCTCATTGCTGTCGCCACACGGACCTGCCAGATGCGTCTCTCGCTCAGCCGACCTGTGTGAACACAGCATCCTCCCACCCCCCTTCCACTAACTACTACTCATGCTTCAAGTCTCCAGCTAGAGGAAATCCCGCCCAAACCCCTCGAGTAGGCCAACAACAACAATAATAATAGCTGATATTCACTGCATGCTTCCTAAAGGCAGGCGCGGTCCTAAGAACTCTATAGTATTGACCCATCGTGTCGCACCGTCAACTATGATTATTCTGTTACAGGACAGGCACAGAGAAGTGAAATGATTCATCCAAGGTCACACCAGATAGGAAATAGCAAAGCTGGCTGGCGTAATGAACTTGGGCTCCAGGCCCCAAATCCATCAGCACCATGAACTCCACCGTCTCCCTCTGCAACTACAATGTCTCATCTTCCCTCCTTCAGAAGCAATGATCACATGTGCCCGTACCTGTTCAATCCCTGTCCCTCCCCCACCAGACCGTCCACTCCCCGAGGGCAGGGACCACGTTGCCTCGGGCACCCGGTCCAGCCCCTGGCATCACTGCTTTTTTAGCTGAATGTCGTGCTCTGCATTCCCACAGCCCCCAGACCCAAGTCACCCACTCCGGAGGAGGGCTTGAGGTGAACCCTTGGTCCATTTCACAGAACGGTCTACCAGACCCACACATGAAGAATCATGAGAAAATCACCCTGAATTCTCTCCGGCTGGCTGGTCCCACGGGCTCCCTAGAGCCCTACCACTGATTCTGCGGACTACCGCCTGACGGGCTCCTTAGCATGGCCCTCGGCCACCAAGGAGCACAACCACTCAGCCGGGGCCAGGGGGTAGCAAGATCCATCATGCACGCATCCCGGAGTGATGGCAGAAAAAAAGCCCTTGGGCCTGGCTGGGCCAGCGTATGGCTCCCCCTGCTGGCTTCCTTCCATGTTCATTAGCACCCTCTCCCACTGCACAGCCCAGGGGACACTCACCAGCCACGAGAAGAAGCCAGCCGATTTGTCCTGGGTGGAGATCTGCCCCTCATAGGGGCCGAAGATGTGACCCTTGGGGATGACCTCATTTATGCATCGCACGTCATTCTCCCCACTGGCTTCCTTGACCACCTCCATGCCCTGTGGGATGGTGAGGGCAGCCCTGTCTGGGATGCCCACGGGCACCGGCGTGTCGGACACAAACACTGGGGGACCGTGGTTCGGACACTCATCCACAAAGTACTCCTGGCAGGACTCGCAGACTGAAGGGACGGAAAGAGCGAAGAGAGCCTCAGTTGCTGCAGGGAGGCAGGACCTCCATGGCAGAGGCTGAGGGGCTGATGGGAAGCCCACCCTGAGGACGGCACAGGGCCGTGAAAAGCCCACCGCAGGGGACTCGGGAGTCCCGGCCCTGGCTCCGCCCCAGCCAGCCACGGGCCCCAGAGTCTTCAGCGGTAATAACCCATTCCCCTCCCCGGGGGCTCAAAGGACACGCCTGCCAGTGCGCAGGAAGCCAGTAGCTCCCTTTGTATCAAGTTTCAAGCACAGCTTTGGAGTCAGATGGGTCTGGGTTTGAACTGCAACCATGCCTCTGTGGCCTGTGGGACCCGAGGCAGGGTGCTTAACCCTCACCAAGCCCTGGGGTCCTCACCTGGAAAATGGGACCCATAACAGCCACCTCAGTGGTTAATGGTGAGGCTAAACTGAATCCGGGACCCGTGTCTGATACGTGACAGGCGAACGCCTATGGTCAGTTACGGCTGCAAACTCCCTGAGCAGAGCTGGGGTGGAGGGTGGGAGTCGGTGGGGAGGGAGGAGCAACCCAGGAACAGCCTCGAACTCCACTTACACCAGAAGTCCACTTGCTGGAAGCTTTTGGGCATGATGAGCTCACGCTTCCCCTTCAGTTTCTTGGGCTCCACTTCCATGGACGAGGGGTCTGGTCTCCTAGAGCTGGCCAGACCAGGGGCCAGTGGAGAAAGCAAAGAAGCCATCAGAGAGCGGGAGGCTGGGGGGCAGAGAAGCCGTGGACCTGGCCAGGAGGCCACGGGGATGCGGGATGGGCCAAGGAACCCCAGCCAGGCTGCCCATTCAGTGCAGGGACAGCGAAAAGGTAGGATCTGAGACCTGGACCCAGCCAGGCCTTCTAGGGTCCCTGCTTGCGTGCCTTCTAGAGCCTGCGCTCTCCCCTCTGCTCCAAGGAGCTGCCCAGAGCAGGCTCAGGAAGGTGGGCCAGGAGTGGGAACTCTTCCCCAGGGCCTCCAACCAACCCAGCCCAACGACTCCCCACTTCTCCCTCTCCTGTCCCCACACCAGGGCCTCACCAGGGCTGGCCATACTCCTGGTCGCGGAGTGGGGAGCAGACCTCTGTCTTCACCACGGTCACCATATCCCCCACGGCCGCCTTGGTCTGCGCCAGGCACTCCTTCATGTTCTCAGTCATTCTGTCCTGGGGACGCGAAGGCGGGACCAGCACAGGAAGAAGATCAAAGAGACAGGGGAAGAAGGGTGAGTGTCACAGAGGGCAAGCGGGGGGTCCCGTGGAGTCTGGTTACCCTCCCTGCCATCCCCAGAGGAAGCGCTGGAGAACACAGACAACAAAAACAGCTGTAGCTCGGCCAAGAGGAAATGCCATTTCTATCCCGGGCTGGTCCTGGGGAAGACTGGAGCCACCAGCCCCATGGGGTCAGAGGACGAGGGGCAGCTCAGGCCAGGGGGCAGGACTGGAGAGCGCAGCCCGGACCCCAAGGCCAAGGGGCAGAGGGTATGGGGAATCCACAGGAAGGAGCCTCCGCACAAAAGTCTGCACTGGGGGGCAGGGGAGGGATCGACTCAAGTCCAGCTGGGGCCAAGCGGGGCTGGAGGATGAACCGGGCCCCCAGCGCCTGGCTGTGCGGCCCCTCACCCAGAGGCTGCCAGGGAATGCAGCCAGGCCCGCTTTGCCAGCTCAGAGCAGGTACAGGCGGGGCCTGGGGGTCCCGGTGTGGGCCGGCGAGCCAGCCCTGACTCCGAGCCCCACCCGCTCTCTCCAGGGAAGTCGCCCCAGCCCGCCGCTTACCGCCCTCCTCCACCACCGCGCCGGGCTTCAGCCCCTCCCTCGGCACCCCTGGGTCCTCATGCCAAGCCCGGGGACACTCTTCGGGCCAGGGCGGTGCGCGGCTCAGGCTGGGACCGCGCTCGCGGCCCGGGACTGGGCAAGCGGCTTGTGTGACTCACTACCCGGGGCCCCGCTGGCCACACCCCTGCTCCTCCGCTAATCAGCCCCCTGCTCCCCACCGGGGCCCCAAAGCCGGCGGCTGCTGGGAGGGGTGCGGGGAAACACGACGGCCTGCCCCCTCCTCCAGAGCCGG